ACACACACACACACAATAGGTAACCTTTAATTATAGCCAACAAACATGCTCGACTCTCAATCCGCTTTCTTATCTCCAACATGGATATAAATTCTTCACAAGATTTCATTCCATATAGTTAGTTAAGGCCAAACGTAACGTTTACTTTTTATTTGTTTCTAATTTGAATTCAATATTTGTTTAAAATATGATTGAATTAATGTGTATGTCAATGAGACAATAGAATCAAAAGTAATTATCCTTTTCGACAGTAACTATTTTCTATAAGTATTAAAAAGGACGAAAGTGTTAGAATTGCTGATTCCAAAAAATGTACTTCCAAGGCCAACAGATCTCAAGACCTCTTATGTTCACGCAAGCCTTGTTTTTGCACACTTGAACAAGTCGTTAGTCACACGTAACCTCCTCTAATAGGGTAGAATCGGTTGCGCTCACTCCAACAATCAAATCAGTTGAGGAAGTAAATATATGAGTGTGGGAGAACTTTATATGCGAGCCTCCAATATAAAAAAGGGGTCGGCTTTGGGGAGTAATGGATAAACAGTGATATGTGAAAATTATAGTTTGAGAGTTTAAACTTGCATTACCCTGAAAATGATACTAAGTGAGTTTTTATAGTAGAAGGGGATGATTAAGAGTTGTTAGATGAGGGGACACGCGGCCCCATCCCCACAGTTGGGACCTTTTGTCATAGCCATTAATCAATCATTCTTAGGTCATGCTGCATTTAATGTTGTGACGACTTGGCAGCCCTAGACCTACATATAAGACTAGACTTGACTTATTTGATTGAATTTAACTATCTATTTAGTGAGTTGTCATATCACCCACTTAATACAAGATCTAGTATGAAGATTTTCTCTAAGACATCTCTACCTACCTCACCTCATCCATGAGGGCTCAGCTCTCTTGGGGGTTCGGCCATTCCGTCAAATTCCACATTGGCAGATGATGTGGAGTTGCGAGCCTAGATTCGCTTGCTATGTAGTTGCCACTTGGCCATGCTTAGAGCTTCATTGGAAGGTACGCAACAATAGTCCCCTAAATCCATGTATGAATATTTATATAATGTGTTGACTTTGAATGTACAACATGAGTAAATTTTTGAAGCATTTGCAAACTTGAATTAAGGCGATGCCCTTACATTTATGCATGCCTTTTGGGAAAGATGGAGCATGTGATAAGACTAAATTGAATTTGGACGAGGCCATTTGCATAAGAGAGAGCCCATTTGGGAAGATGCAATCGCTGATAAGGCTGAATTGAACTTGGACGAGGCCCTTTGCATAAGGAAGAGCCAATCCGGGAAGAGTCAGCAGTTGATAAGGCTGAATTGAACTTGGGCGAAGCCCTTTGCATAAAGGAGAGCCCATTCGGGAAAAGACAGTCATTGATGAGGCTGAATTAAACTTAAGCGATTCCCTTTGCATAAGGGAGAGCCCTTTCGGGAAGAGGCAGTCGTTGATAAGGTTGAGTTAAACTTGGGTGAGACCTTACCGTCGATTAAGCTGAAATGAACTTGGTCGAGGCCCTTTGTATTAAGGAGAGCCCATTCGGGAAGAGGCAACCGTTGATAAGGTTGAATTGAACTTGGCTGATGCCCTTTGCATAAGGGAGAGCCCCTTCAGGGGAAGAGGCAATTATTGATAAGACTAAATTGAACTTGGTCGAGGCCGTTTACATAAGGGAGAGCCCCTTCAGGGGAAGAGGCAACTATTGATAAGGCTGAATTGAACTTGGTCGACGCCGTTTATATAAGGGGAGCCCCTTCGTGAAGAGTTAGCCATTGATAACATTGAATTGAACTTGGTCAAAGCCCTTTTGCATAAGGGAGATCCCATTAAGGAAGGGGCAACTGTTGATAAAGTTGAATTGAACTTGGGAGAAGCCCTTTGCATAAAGGAGAGCCACTTTCGGGAAGAGACATCCATTGATAAGGCTAAGTTGAACTTGGTCGAAGCCCTTTGCATAAGGGAGAGCCCATTCGGGAGGAGGCAGTCGTTGATAAAACAGAATTGAACTTGGATGAGGCACTTTACATAAGAGAGCCCCTTCGGGAAGAGACAATCGTTGATAAGGCTGAATTGAACTTGGTCGAGGCCTTTTGCATAAGGGAGAGCCCATTTAGGAAGATGCAGCCATCGATAAGGTTGAATTGAACATAGGCGAAGCCCTTTGTATAAAGGAGAGCCCCTTTGGGAAGAGGTGACCGTTGATAAAGCTGAATTGAACTTGGTCAATGCCTATTGCATAAGGAATAGCCTATTTGGGAAAAAGCAGCCGTTGAAAAGACTGAATTGAACTTGGCTGAAGCTCTTTGCAGGAAATCATTAATAAGGCTGAATTGAACTTGACCGAGGCACTTCACATAAGGTAGAGCCCCATTGGGAAGAGGCAGCCGTTGATAGGGTTGAAATGAATTCGGCTGATGCCCTTTGTAAGGAAGGCTTTTTCGTGTAAAGGTTTCTTCCATGGTGTTTGATCCATTCATGGAAGAGGTTAATTCTCTAAGGCAACAAGTTGTGGCTCTCTATGAGTTGCATCACACTTGTCCTTTATGAGATAATTTTACCTATTTCCAAGGGCTTCCTCCATGGTATTTAACTTATCCATGGAAGGGATTAATTTTCTAAGGAAACAAGTTGTGGCTCTCTGTGGGATGCATCACGCTTGTCCTTGATGAGGCTATTTTATTTTCTTGCAAGGGGATAGCTCTTCTTCGTAAGGGCTTCCTCTATGGTGTTTAATCCATCATGGAATGGTTTTTATATATAGTCGAAGCACTGATACATAGTCTAGATGAAGTCTTGCATAGTAGATGCACTGATGCATAAGTGAGATGAGGAATTGCATAGCAAAGGTACTGATGCATAGGTAGGATGAGTCCTTGCATTATAGAGTCCAATGTTTTAAGGATAAGGCCTATTAATTCATCAAGTATAACCTTTTTTCAGAGGTCCTTACTTCTTCAGGAGTTATTGTTCATAGCATCTTCTTCAGAGGCCTCTGTTTTTTACGAGTGTTGGAGGCACTTATGCGTAGGTAAGATTTGGCCTCCACACTAAGATTGTAGTTTTAAAAATGATATTATGCTTCATGGATAAAGCTTCGTAATTCTTCAAATATAACCCCCTCTTTAAGGACGTTAGCTTCTTCAGGTTTTATTCCCTTCATAGCCTTTTCAAGTGCTTCCCTTTTTCAGGTGTTCTTTTATTGATGACATCTTCAAATGCCACATCTTTTTGGGGGTTTTCATTTCATGGGAGATGCGTTGATGCATGGCAAAACTAAAAATTGTCTTCAGGTCCATCAATAATTTCATGATCAGGTCCCTTAACTTTTCATCTTCTAATATATTTGGTCCCCATATTTTGACTTTTATTTGGATCGTACCCTTGATAAATTGCATCCAAAGTCCTTCAACTTTGACACTCCTACACTTTAGTCCCCAAGTTCACTTTTAGTAATTTTATCTTATTTTGCATTGTTCTCTTTCAATTTGGGGATATTTACTTATCACATGTGGGAGACACCTAGGCATAGGTCAGGAAGAGACGTTGCATGGCCGAAGCGTTGTTGAACATGCCAATATGAGGCCTCTACACTTGAAAAAATCATGGTTGTAGAGTTGAAGTATTGCTACAAAGATGAAGCCTCTGAAAATAGACGAAGCATTTGCGTAGAGGCGAAGACCCATGTTTCAAGGATGAGGTCTCTTAATTCTTCAAACTTATCCCTTTCTTTCTTTAGAGGCCTCCCATTTTTTAGGAGTTACTCG